CGAGCTGCCGCGCCTGGCAGCAAGTGCCTTTTAACAACAGAAAGAACTGGGTTCAAAGCTGGAGCCGTGCCGAGCACTCTGAGGCAGGCTCAGCTCTCACCACGCTGCAACTTCCCCTGGCTTCACAGCAGGTTCTCCTGACCCCGCTGGGAGGAGCACGTGAAAAGCCAGCACTGTGGAGTCACAGGCAGTACCCAGACACAGGAGCTCAGCCGCCGCTGGGTCACGAGACCCCGCGTGCATTTCCTTGCGCAGTTACATTTGGGGTCCGCTTTGACGCACAGCTCATCTCAGCTCCTACAGTCACAAGCCACGTTACGAAAAGGCTCTGGCGCCAGGCCTCACTGCAGAGTAAATGCTGCACAGGCTCCGCCCTCCAGGGCTGAAAGCAGGTTACCTCAGTCTCCAGACAGACGAGACTCCAATCCGAGGTCATGCTCCGGGACAGGAGGGGAAAATTATAACGTGTTAGCCAAAACCAGAATTTAAAATATCTAAAACCCAGACCGTTCATTTTGGGTGATGAAAGGGGTGCATGGTGCGTGCCAACGTGTTAACAGTTACAAATCCAGGGCTCCACTTCCCAGGGCTGAGTGTGTGGCCCTTGTCCTTCCTAAGCTAACAGCAGACACGGCCCGATGGCCTGGGTGCCGACCAGAGAAGGGAAGCATAATCACGCAGCAACACTTTACACACGGCACCCTCCTTACATGTGGATGCTGAGGAGATGAGCAGCTACTGTCCTAAATAATCCCTAAAATCTGAGTAGTCACCAAGAATTTCACTGTAAATGTACCATTATTAGTTCATACATTTTATCACTGAAAAGATCTCTAGTCCTTTTCACGAGGCAAAGTGGTCCAGATGGCTAGACCATAAGTGGCAAACGCAGGTCTACGGCCATCAGACAGATATTTACACAAGTCGGTAAAATGAGCAGGGTTTCAACCAAACACTGATGCAGGGGACAGGCTCAGAGCCAGGCGCCAGAAGGAACAGGTGACCGGGGCATCCCACAAAGGCGTGCACGCAGACCCAGCACTGCTGTCACACGGGCACCTGGGCCAGAGCTCACACATCTGTAACTTTAGGACCCCAAAAGTAAATAAACTAAGTTGAAAAAAATCAGGAATCTAGACTTTTTTACATGCTACTTCTCAACTTAAACGCTGGCAATGAGTTTTCAGAATTGTTTCAAATAAACACATGTGAAATGCAGTTTGATTTCAGTAATTTGGGGGGTTTTGTTGTTTTTATTTAGTTTTAAGAAATTTTTAAAAATATACTGCAGGCCAGGCACAGTGGCTCACGCCTATAATCCCAGCATTTTGGGAGGCCAAGGTATGACGATCACTTGAGCCCAGGAGTTCAAGACCAGCCTGGGCAACATGGTGAGACCCTGTTTCTATAAAAAAAAAAAAAAAATTAAGATTACCCAGGTGTGGTGGCGTGCACCTGTTGTCCCAGCTACTTGACGACAGAGGCAGGAAGATACCTTGAGCCTGGGAGGCAGAGGCTGCAGTGAGCTCTGACTGTGCCACTGGACTCCAGCCTGGGCAACAGAGCAAGATCCTGACTCTAATTAAAAGAACAAAACAGGCTGGATGCCCACGGTCTGCTTACCAAGCACCTGGGTGACACAGGACATGCAGGCCGGCCTTTAACGCAAGAGCATCAGCACCGCTGCCAGTCAGACCGTAGCAGTGCCTGGACTCCAACTGCATTTTCACTCTCTAATGTGAAGCTCTCTTTGCTAAACGCACAGCCCTGCATGGGACTTGGATGGCACACGGCAGGCACAGGCACACAATGGCTCAGACAGCAAGTGCGCAGGGCACCTGCTCCCAAGGGGCTCAGCAACACGAACATGGAGGGTGGGAAAAGCGGCGGGAACGGATGCTTACACAGTTGCGTTTCTTGCATAGGAAGACTGAGTCTGAGAGACTGCAAAGCTTCTTTTCTAACACTGCCCTCAGCACTAGTTCCCTGAGCCTTCCTTAGGTTGTCATGGAAACCAGCCACACCTGGAGAGGCATCAGGGCCCACTGGGCTTGTGGTGGGGTCGAGAGATGACGGAGGGTCTGGCGAGGGTGGCATTGGCCCGTTCTGACAGAGGCCTCCCTGGCCAGGTCCATCCGGGCTTTCTCCTTCCGTGGAAGCTCTGTTTACCTCAGCACCTGGAAAGACAGAGTACGCTGGACCACCGTGGATTTAACAAGTGATGTCGCTTTTCAGACACGCAGCTGGAGTAGGAGAGAAGAGGATCCAGACTCATGAGCACAGTACCTTCTCACCCCACAAAGGCGTTCACTCTGAGAAGAGCAGCCCATGGGCCCCGTCCCACAGGCGGGGTGGCCAGGATAAGGCCCAGAGCCCCGCTGGTGTCATGTCCTCCCTGTAAGGTAAACTCGCCCTCCACGCCTCCACTCTGGCTGTAGAATTTATGTAGTAACGACAGTAACATTTCCTCTTTTTATTTTTATTTTTTGAGATGGAGTCTCGCTCTAGTGCCCAGGCTGGAGTGCAGTGGCACAATCTCAGCTCACTGCAAGCTCCACCCACCGGATTCAAGCGATTCTCCTGCCTCAGCCTCCCGAGGAGCTGGGATTACAGGCACCCACTACCACATCCGGCTAATTTTTGGTCTTTTTAGTAGAGACGGGGTTTCACCATGTTGGCCAGGCTGGTCTCAAACTCCTGACCTCAAGTGACCCGCTCACCCGCCTCGGCCTCCTGGAATGCTGGGATTACAGGCGTGAGCCACTGCACCTAGCCAATGTTTCCTTTCCATTTAAGTAAAACCAATAAGAAATCTTATGAAAGTCGACTGTTTAAAACAAGCAAAAACCACAAACGCTTAAAACACAGCTGACAATCTTTCCAGCAGGCACTGGGAACAGCAGTGATAATCAGAGTCACACAGCCTCACATTTACAAAGGCTGATTCTGGAGTCATTTCAAAGCCTAAGCCTATCCTCCAAGGCAAGGACCCTACGGCAAAGAGGTGGATTACGTCATCAGAACACCACCCGCCAAGCAGAGACAAGCCAGAACTGCGCTTCTGCTCGAACACGCCTGCTGGGTAAAGGCCTGGGTTGAACCAGTGACAATTCTATACCCACGTGTTACCTCAGTTCACCCACTAACATGATTATATATAAATTACCCACAACACAAACTAACACATATTTCCTCATCACACGGAAGAAAGACTTCTTTCAATGAAGTGATTTTCAGTCTTTTCCCTGCCCCCAACTGCTGACTGGCGGGTGGGTCAGTTCAAAGAACCAAGACATGTGAGGGGGAAGGGAGGGTCCTCAGAGGGTTCTGGCCCTGGTTCGAGTGGCTCTCGAGGCCTGGCAACACCCCTGCCTCTCACAGCGGTGGGCATTCCTCGGATCCCATGTGCATGCAGTAGAGTAAATTCGCTTTTTGCTCAGGCAAATTAAAAATGGGTTTCTTTCACTTGCAAATGTGAGTCCAAACACAGCTACTTACTGTCATGCCTCCTGAAAGAAAAACCAGAGTAAAAGCAGGGGTGCCACAGACAGGAAGCCAGAGCAAGGGGACCCCGCCAACGCACTGAGACGCCTTTCATGCAAATGACCCGGGAGCTCCACTGCTGGGAGAGGGGAAACCTTGCATTTCAGATAAAAGTTAATGGGTTAGGCCAGGCGTGGTGGCTCACGCCTGTAATCCCAACACTTTGGAGGCCGATGCAGGCGGATCACTTGAGGTCAGGAGTTCAAGACCAGCCTGGCCAACATGGTGAAACCCTCATCTCGACTAAAAAGACAAAAATTAGCCACGCACGGTGGCACGCATCTGTAATCCCAGCTACTTGGGAGGCTAAAGCAGGAGAATCACTTGAACTCGGGAGGTGGAGGTTGCAGTGAGCCAAGATCGCGACACTGCACTCCAGCCTTGGCGACAGAGCAAGACTCTGTCTCAAAAAAACAAAAAACAACAAAAAAAGAGGTTGGCCACATGCAGTGGCTCTCACCTATAATCCCAGCACTTTGGGAGGTGAAGGTGGGAGGATAACTTGAGGCCAGGAATTCAAGACCAGCTGGGCAACGGCAAGACTGTCTCTATAAAAAGTTTTTAAAATGAGCCAGGCAACTGGGCACAGGGGCTCACACCTGCAATCCCAGCACTTTGGGAGGCCGAAGCGAATGGATCACCAGAGATCGGGAGTTCGAGACCAGCCTGATCGACATGGAAACTCCATCTCTACAAAAAATACAAAATTAGCTGGGCATGGTGGCACATGCCTGTAATCCCAGCTACTCGGGAGGCTGAGGCAGAAGAATCGCTTGAATCTGGGAGGCAGAGGTTGCGACGAGCTGAGATCGCACCACCGCACTAAGCCTGGGAGACAAGAGCAAAACTCTGTCTCAAAAAAAAAAGAAAAATCAGCCAGGCGTGCTGACACGCATCTGTGGTCACAGCTACCCCAGAGACCAAGGCAGGAGGATCGCTTACACCCAGGAGCCCAAGGCAGGAGGACTGCTCACGCCCAGGGGCTCATGGCTACAGTGAGCTATGATTACACCACTGCACTTCAGCCTGCTCAATGGAGCAACACCCTGACTCTAAAAACAGTAATAAAATTTTTGAAACAGAAAAATGAAGAAGTAGAGGCTGCAATTAATCAAGCATCTTGCTCAAGGGCACAATGCTTCTGAGTGGCAGATCTAACAGCAGGTTCCATGGCTGTGGGTCTCAGAACCCCTGACCTTGGGCCTCCAAGCTATTATCTGCCTCACCTGATGTTTTCGTAGCAAGGACCAGCGAAGCCATCCTAAGGGCCTGAGTATCATTTTACAGGAATTAGACTGTGATTTCTGATAGTAAATTAGCACATCTACAGTCTACCGTTTTAAAGCACTGAACCTCCTGGCCAGAAAGAGGCAGGAGAACTGAGTGAATAACTAACTCACCCTTTCCCTCTGACACGTGCATAGCGCCGGGGGGCTAACATAAAATTGTGCTCAGTAATCCTTAGATCTCTATTGAAATAGTTCTGAATTCTAGCTATTAAAAATTTGGCCACTGACCAATCAAAAAGGCAGAATTTGGACAGGCACAGTGGCTCACTCCTGTAATCCCAGCACTTTGGGAGGCTCAAGTGGGTGGATCACTTAAGATCAGGAGTTCGAGACCAGCCTGACCAACATGGTGAAACCCCATCTCTACTAAAAATACAAAAAACAGCTGGGCGTGGTGGTGGGCGCCTATAGTCCCAGCTACTTCAGGAGGCTGAAGCAGGAGAATCGCTTGAACCCGGGAGGTGGAGGTTGCAGTGAGCTGAGATTGTGCCACTGCACTCCAGCCTTGGCAATAGGACACTGTGTCACACACACACAAAAAAGGGGCTGGGGGCAGTGGCTCACGCCTGTAATCCCAGCACTCTGGGAGGCTGAGGTGGGCGGATCACCTGAGGTCGGGAGTTCACGACCAGCCTGACCAACATGGAAAAACCCTAATAAAAATACAAAAAACAGCCAGGGGTGGTGGCGGCGCCTGTAATCCCAGCTACTCGGGAGGCTGAGGCAGAAGAATCGCTTGAACCCAGTAGGTGGAGGTTGCTGTGAGCCAAGATCTCGCCACTGCACTCTAGCCTGGGCAACAAGAGTGAAACTCCATCTCAAAAACAAAAAAAAAAAAAGGTAGAATTCTGGGCAGGGAACACGACAAAGACCCATAGATCCCTTCAGGGAAACACTGCTGCTGCCCCACAGGTGTCAAATGGCGTTCTGTTTAGCAGGAACGTGCCTGATCTAAAGGTGGCATCATTCAGTTACTAAAACATACTCTGAATGAAGTGAAAAGCTCACAGTGGTCTCAACACCACGTCCTCCCTCAACACCACGTCCTCCTGTGACCAGCACACAGAGGAACCTGACGACTTACGCTGGGCTTTGTCCTGCTGGTCAGGTGGCACCAGTGGGTCCTGGTCAGGTGGCACCACTGGGCCCGGGGGCTTCAGGGGGCCCTCGGGGAGAGCCAAGGGGCCACCGTGGGATCTGTCCTCCTGGAGGCCATCCTGCTCGGCCGACGCACCGTCCATGGTCAGGACGACACCAGCTGCACTGACGCCGTGGAGCTACAAGTGAACCTTGGTCAAGCGTGGTTTCTGCCATCAGTAACAGCCAAGAGCCCCTGGGAGGGGCCCCACTGTGTCTCCCATTTTCAGGAGATTGAATGACTCAAATGGCTTGAGGTTAAACCAGCTAATATCATGATACCTGACAGGAGAAAAAGAGAAAAAATGTATTATGAAACTTTTACTCGTCAGATTTCAAATATCGATTACAAAATTAACATTTGGTTCCCAATTTTCATACGTACAAGAAACAAATACAGACTTTTTCATTCAGCAAATAATCCTGGAGCACCTACAATGTCCTAGGTTTTGTGGCTAAAATGCTGACCCAGCCACACTTTCTGGGCCCTTTCCTGAAGGAGCTTAATGTCTGTGTCGGTGCCAACTAAAGAACATTCTACTGGGACAGTGCGACTTTCTGTCCCGGAGTAGCTGAATTGTGGAGTAGCTGTCATACAGGGCAACTGAGGAACTGAGTTTTAAATTTAAAATTAATTAATTTGGGCCAGGTGTGGTGGCTCACCCATGTAATCCCAGCAATTTGGGAGGCCGAGGCAGGCAGATCACATGAGATCAGGAGTTCAAGACCAGACTGGCCAACATGGTGAAACCCCATCTCTACTAAAAATACAAAAACTAGCTGGGCGTGGTGGTGCACACCTGTAATCCCAGCTACTCAGGAGGCTGAGGCAGGAAAGTCGCTTGAACCTGGGAGGCGGAGTTTGCAGTGAGCCGAGATCATGCCACTGCACTCCAGCCTCGGCAACAGAGTGAGACTCCATCCCCAAAAAAAAATTAGGCCAGATGCAGTGGCTCACACCTACTATCCCAGCACTTTGGGAGGCCAAAGTGGGTGATCACCTGAGGTCAGGAGTGCAGACCAGTCTGGCCAACACAGTGAAGCCCTGTCTCTGCTAAAAATACAACAAATAGCTGGGTGTGGTGGTGGGCACCTGTAATCCCAGCTAGTTGGGAGGCTGAGGAAGGAGGGTCACTTGAACCTGGGAGGCGGAGGTTGCAGTGAGCCGAGATCGCACCACTGCACTCCAGCCTGGGTGACAGAGGGAGACCCCATCTCAAAAAAAATTTAAAAATGAATATATCAGACTCGCAGGCCTAGGTGTGCTAGGGCACGCTCCCCTCTCAGCCAGTGGAGTGACTGCCCAAGGCCAACGCTCCTGCTGGCAGCTCCACCCCTTCAGGTTGGACAGCTCAGATCTGGAGAAACAAAACTTTAAAAAGCAGGTGCCATGGATGTGGTAACTGTATACAGGGGGTACAAGGACACCAGAAAGGTAGCTGCCTTGGAGTGGGGGCACAGAGAGGGCATCTCACAGCAGGGCCCGTTCCCGTCTTTACCTGTAGCTGGGTTAGAGCGCTTTCTCTCTCAGCCCTGCTGGGCTACATTCAGGTGAGCAAAACTTTGCCCAACATTTGACAAGTGATTATCCACCTTGAAATGTGCTGGTGATACTATTAACTCGTTTCCTTATCAACAGGTAAGATGCTAGCACGAGCTTCCACTCATTCTGCAGAAATGTTGGCATTTATTCCTTTAAAATCAGTTTCATATTAACCTACATTATGTTCTGTGTTTAACATTTTTCATGATAAACATTACACAACCTTCGCCTCTAGCTTACAAATCCCACACAGAAGGTACAGACAAGAAGCTCACGTGGGGCTGCGCGCAGTGGTTCACGCCTGTAATCCCAGCACTTTGGGAGGCCAAGGCGGGCAGATCACCTGAGGTCAGGAGTTTGAGACCACCTGGCCAACATGGTGAAACCCCATCTCTACTAAAAATACAAATAACTAGCCAGGTGTGGTGGCAGGTGCCCATAATCCCAGCTACTTGGGAGCCTGAGGCAGAAGAACCACTTGAACCTGGGAGGCAGAGGTTGCAGTGAACCAAGACCACACCATTGCACTCCAGCCTGGGCAACAAGAGTGGAAACTCCGTCTCAAAAAAAAAAAAAAAAAGGGCCGGGTGCAGTGACTCACGCCCGTAATCCCATAACTTTGTGAGGCCAAGGTGGGTGGATCACTGGAGGTCAGAATTTCAAGACCAGCCTAACATGGTGAAACCTCACCTTTACCAAAAATACAAAAATTAGCCAGGCATGGCGGCATGTGCCTGTAATCCCAACTACTCAGGAGGCTGAGGCAGGAAAATCGCTTGAACCTGGGAGACAAAGGTCGCAGTGAGTCAAAATTGTGCCATTGCACTCCAGCCTGGGAGACAAGTGCAAAACTCCATCTCAAAAAAAAAAAGCAGCCCACGTGGCTGGTCCTCGGGAGCACGTGTGCCACTGGCCCCACAGCAGGATGTGCCTGTCTTTCTAGTTTTTACTCTCACTCTATCTGTCCTCTAGACTGGTCACCCGTAAAAGAGGAAACCCACTGGTGGTGGGTGTAACCCAGTCCACTGACGCGGTCAGTAACTCACTGAAGGGCGTGCAGACCTGTATCTGCTCATAACTGTAATAATCCACCATTCCTCTCTGCCGCCTTGCATCCTACAGGCCAGAGACAGTTATGAGTTCATAAGAGTGTTGCTCAGAGCATTAAAAGATTACGCATGCTATTAGCATGAAACTAGCAGTAACGGTTTGTAACCAGAAAGCACTGTGAATAGAAATGTGTCATAACATTAGTAACTATAAATCCAGCACAGCTAATCAGGAAACTACTGTAAACAAAGGATCCTAGGAGTCTTGACTCAGGGTGCCTGGCACATATAAATATTTAAAGATTAAAGCAATGTCTGAATCACAGAAGTGAAGGAAGTTACTGAGGCTGGTCAAGAGCTAATCCCGTGTGCAACGAATTCTCACTCTCACTTTTGTGTCTACGACCATCTAGTAACATCTTTCATCCCTGGATTTTCCAGGTGGGTGGGTGATAAAGGGGCCCTAGAGCCTGGGCAGGGATCTGAGCTACACACCTGTCCTTACACACAGCACAGAACCCTCTGAAAATCACTTTCCAGGAAAACCACCGGGACCTCCACCAAGCCTGCCCCTCAGCTACAATCCCAGACACGCCCCAGGAGAGCAGGGGGGGTGTCAGTCGGCCACGCCCACCCGGGAGTGGAGAAGACACCCCCAAAACAAGGGGCGGAGCATCAGCAAAATGACGGCCGCTCACCACAGGCTTCCGTTCGACCACAGACGAATTACAAACCGGCACGGAGGGATACACGGGTGGAATGTGGACTCTGCTGCGCCACTGAATATTGGCACCTGCACATCTGGTCCTCCTGAAAACTTCCTAGCAAAAGAAAACTTGTGTTTTGCTTTGTGATGTCTTTGCTTCTGCCTTGCGGGGGTGGAGTGATGATATGGAAATGACCGTGTGTGGCTACGTGTGCAGTCCCTCCTGGCCCCTCAGGTAAAGGGTCTTGTCCATCCCCTCTGCCATCACTGTACCTCACGTGGCCTCCACCACAGCACGTCATGTCTGCCACTGTGTGTGTGCCCATTACACGGCGAGATCCTTGAAGGCAAAGACTCATTCCCCATCTGCCTCCTACCACCTTGAATACTCCCAACTCCTAAAGTGCCAACCCGGATTTAATTTGCCGAATTAAATCTCCAGTTCTGCTGAGTACATTCCTCGGCTACAAAGCTAATGGTTCCAAAACAAAGTGATCAAGTATTTGAATCCTTGAGCATCAATACTCCCTTTTAAAACACAGAAAACTCTAAACGATTCCAGCTGAAACATCTGAAAGCTTCAGTTCCAATGAGGGAGTCCAGGGAGTTAGAAACTGGAAGAGCAGCATCACGACACAGCCCAGGCACCACCACCTGAACAGAAAGGATGGGACGACCAGCAGGACCCGACTCAGTCACTACAGGCAGAACATGCAGAGAACTGCTGCAGAGGCCCACAGCGACGACGCCCGGGCCTTACACTGACCAAGGAGGAGGAACATAGCCAACGATGCTCAGGTCCACCGAGAGGGCATGCCAACACGGTGACGGCCAGCTACACCAAGCTCTCTGAGTCCAGTGCAGTCACAGATTCGGCTCACATAATGCCCCTGCTGGCCTCCAAGCAGCCCACTCCCCTAGAACGGGGACCCCGAGACGGCGACTGTAAGTCACAAAGACGGCCCCTGTTTATAGGCAGCTCCTCCTGAAGCCGGACCAGAGAGAGAATTCACTAACTGCCTGGAGTTTGCTGACAGCGATACTTCTCCCTGTAGGGCAATAAGCTGGCAGTCTCGGTCGATCCTCAGTCTTGCTTGATTTTTAGTTAAAATTCGGAATGACTCAGTCATCAGGGCCTCATTACCTCAGACGACTGACAAAAGCCAATCTCCGGGCAGCAAGGAGGAGGAGCAGCCAGTTGCCAGTGCATCACAGAAAGCTGTTATTAGGAACATGACTCGCTTTTGATTTTATTTTTTAAATAAAGAGGCCAGTCTGATCAGTCTCACTTATGATCACTTGCACTCCTACATCTCTAGAGGGAAGAGACGGCACAAAGCTGTCACTTAGAACTCGGAAGGATACACACAACCCTAGGTTCACAGCTGGGTAACATCAAGGGACTTCACACTGCAAAACCACCACCTCAGGCACCTACAGGACGTTCTGCTTCCCCTACACCTGAATTCTGTATACAGACATTCACGGCTCCATCTACTCCACCTCGTTTCAGCTGTCCTATCGGGTATGACAAACAACAGAGCACAGCCAAAGACCAAACACGATTTCCCAGGAAGACAGTACCTGGTGGAGGCCACACTAGTATCCAAAAGTAAACAGAGATCTATACACAAAGTGAAAACCAAAAGCAAGCTTCACGTCACTGCAGAGACGTAAAGGGCAGGCTTGGAAGTCGGCCTCAGCTCCCGACCCTCCACCACTTAGCTGTGAGATCCTGGGCTAAAGATTTAACCACTTTTAGCCTGTCTCCTCCAGTAAAACAACGAGAAAATGAGTGCAAAATTTTGCCAGGATTAAATACAACAAGGCACAGAGTCTGTCCCATGTCCTCAATAAAATGGCAGTAATTATGACTTTCCCTTTAGTTGTTGCTTGTCGAAATCGCTAAGTAAAAGCCAACCTAAGGCATTCTCACGTGGGAAAGTGCTACATTTTTTTTTTTTTTTTTTTTGAGACTGAATCTTGCTCTCTCAGCTAGGCTGGAGAGCAGTGGCGCGATCTTGGCTCACTGCAAGCTCCACTGTCTGGGTTCACGCCATTCTCCTGCCTCAGTCTCCTGAATAGCTGGGACTACAGGTGCCCGCCACCACGGCCGGGTAATGTATTGTATTTTTAGTAGAGACGGGGTTTCACCGTGTTAGCCAGGATGGTCTCGGCCTCCCAAAGTGCTGGGATTACAGGCGTGAGCCACTGCGCCCGGCCAAGCTACTATTTCTTAAGGCAATGGCGTGGGGGGGGGGGGGGGGAGCTCCTCTTCAATCTGAGTAAAGTCAGATGATTTATTTCCTTCTATACTGCCCGGAAAGCTATTAAAGGGTTATAAAGGGCTATGTTCATGTCATTTAAAAGACAATTCAAAATAACCCACGACGACGGGTGTGGCTGCTCACACCTGTAACCCCAGCACTTAGGGAGGTTGGGGTGGGGGAGTCGCTTGAGGCCAGGAGTTCCACACCAGCCTGGGCAATACAGCAACACACCCAGTCTCTTAAAAAAAAATCCACGAGTCACCTGTAAATGGCTTACACTGTCCCAGTGACAATAAACTCCAACCTCTTACCAATCCAGCACCTGCCTACACCAACATCCTTACCTCCATCGCTTTCCCCCTGTGCCATTACACTCCAGCCACATTCTCCGCCTTAAAACGCCAACCTTTCTCCGCCCTCAGGATCTTCAAACTTTCTGCCTGAGACGTGTTTTTCTCACAATTTTGCCTGACTTGTTTCTCGTCATAGAGGCCTTAGTACAGAAGTCGCCCGCCCCCCAGGCTCCCACACACCAACCACCGCCCGGTACCCTCTCGGTGGCGACCCTGGGCGTCCCTGTGCTAGGTGAGCTCGGCGGGGGCAGGGACCCAGGCCCACAATGACCAGGACCCGCCACACGACTGACATTCGTCGGGTTCATACCCGTGACAACGCCCGGCCCCACTCGCTCTGGGCACCTGGAATGGAGACAAGTCCGCCAGCGACAAAGGCAAACAAGGAAGTGCTCGGACTCCTGAAACCCCGGCTTCCCACGAACCACCCGACACCAAGTCACGCTTGTCAGCTGCAAAGGGCCAGACTAAAGGCACAAGCACTGCCCGAGCGGTGGCAGTGGACAGCTTCAGGACATGCCGCGCTCGTCAGGCGCAGACAAGCATCCAGGAGGGCCCGCGGGCACCGGC